TTTTTAATGTGTTGTTCTTTTTGTGACAGTGTCTCTTGGCTCTGAACTCCTTATCCTCCAAGTTCTGGGATTATATGTGTTTGCAGCTTCTCAAGGCTTCCAAGTTCAACTTTGACTATTCTTTGTATAAGAAGTCCCTATGCCACTGGGTATGCCCGAGACCAATCAAATCAGACTTCTGAGTATTGAAGCTCAGGCCTTAATACTTTTTAAAGGACTTCCCAGATCATTCAAAATTGCAGCCAAGGTTGAAAGCCAGTTTTCCAAGAATAGCTGCCTCCCTCTCCAGAAAAACTAATAAAGACAATTTTTTTCCAACAGTTAAATCTGCACTAGAAGCAGTTGAGTTTTTTTAAAAGCACAATCTATCTGGACCATTCATTCATTCATTTGCCACCCATCAACATATGTTATTGGGCACCTGCTATGTACAAAGCCTGGATGCTGGGTATTCGGGTTCCCTTCCTTCAAGCTAAGCAAATATAAAAATTAGGGCTGGGAAGGTGGCTCAGTGGTAGAGCGCATGCCTTGCATGCCAGAGGCCCTGGGTTCGATTCCTCAGCACCATATAAGCAAAAAGAAAAAAGCCGGAAGTGGCGCTGTGACTCAAGTGGTAGAGCGCTAGCCTTGAGTTGAAGAGCTGAGGGACAGCGCCCAGGCCCAGAGTTCAGGCCCCATGACCGGACCCAAAAAAAAAAAAAATTAGGCTGTGGGGAATCCACTGAACATAATAAAGGAGATCCCATACCTTGTGACCAAGGCTGTGAAGAGTTTATAGACTGGGGGAATGCAGTGGAGAAGGGTTTATAACCAAAGAGGAGCAGAGTCTCCCAATGGAAGTAGTGGCCAACTGGGTAATTGCAAGACCAGTAGGATTGGGCCAAGTAAAAAAGTAGTTTTGGCTTGGGAGTGTGCATCCAGGAAAGGAAAAGAAAAGAAAAATCTAAACATTATGGGATGGTTCCTTTCTGAGGAGTCTGGATGTGGAAGGAGCCGATGAGGCCCACCACCCCAAGGTCCCTAGAAGAGGATCCTAGCTGGGCCATACTGCTGGGCCTGTCAGTTGTCTTAGGAGTTGGAATTCTTCCCCAAGGGCCATAGGGACCGGGAAGGGTTTTCATCAGGGGAGCAGCCAAAGAACACCAACCAACTTCAGGTCTAATGGGGTCTGACGCTCTGAAACTGCCAGCTTTGCAGCTTCGAGGTAAAAAGTCTCACTACCTGATGATGAGGGCAGAGGTGAGATTGGGTTCTTAACTGTGTTCTCTCACAGACCTGGACAGTATCCCTCTGTGGCCCTCAGGAACTGCTGGCTTCTACCAGGCTCCTCACTTGCTCTTGTTTATTCCTTGGCCTGAGACTGCTGAGAAGGATGGTGGGTTCCACACAGCGTCCCCTCCAGCTGTTTTCCTTATTAACCCCTCTGGACCCTTAGGACAGGCAAATCTCCTTGCCCTTGTTCCCGAAGAAGAGGGTGTTCTAGGGTCTTTATGAGGCCACAAACTTCCAGGTCAGGAAAGTGCTTGGACTTGTTATTAGAACTGGGTCAACCCTTGATTGGCCTTTGGCAAACATTGGTTCTTTCAGTCATATCCAGGAACTGGGGGTTATCTGGTCTTCCTCAACTCCAGAACTTTGCAACTATTCAAAATCGAAGAGAAACAAATCTCTCTCTCTCTCTCTCTCTCTGCTCTCTCTGTCTCTGTCTCTCTCTGTCTGTCTCTCTCTGTCTCTGTCTCTGTCTCTGTCTCTCTCTCTCTCTGTCTCTCTCTCTCTCTCTCACACACACACACACACACACACACATCTGCCCGCTTCAGCATGACTCCCTCCAGTACAGCCATGTGCCATTCCAGCGTACCTTGAACCAGGATTGGGCCCGGGTACAACACCCCCCTCCCCCACTTTTGCAGGAATTAAGCAAGACTTAACTTGCCAACCATCCATGCTGGGCTTCCATTTATATGGAATCTTATTTCAGAGCTCAGCAACTCTGTCCTCTCCTGCTTACTATTAATAATCCCTGTCACATACAAAGCTGTGCAGATACAAAACTCCTCTTACATCCCCTAAATCTTATCTAGATCACTCAGAGTGAAGCCAAAGTCCTAAAAATGGCAGCAAGATCCCCAACGAGCTATCTGTGTAGCCACTTGCCCATGACCTCGTTGCCTGCCATACTTTCCCTTGTTCATTCCGTTCCTGTCATACCCTAGCCTATACTCGGCCATGAACATACCCACCCTAGACCCTTTGTACTAGCTGTGCTGTCCATTTGAATGCTCTTCTCCAGATATGGCAGACTTTTTGTCCGTTTGAATGCTCCTCTCCAGATGTGGCAGACTTTTCCTCTCTCTTTTCAGAGAAATGAAATGGCAGCCCCTCATCCCTAGCATTCCTTGGTCTCCTCACTCTCACTTATTTCCCTCATAACACTTATGAACAACCAACTTGTTGCCTCTTTGTTTATGATGTTTTCCTCTTCCTTCCATCAGAATATAATTTCTATGAGGTCAGGGTAGAGTTTCTTCTGTGTTGCATCCCAGAAAGCAGAAACAATGTCTGGCCTGTAGCAGGTGTTGGATAAATATTTGTTAAATGAACGCATGCCTAAACAAACCCATTACCTCATCTGGTCCTCAACAGCCCATTTAACAGATGGAGGATGCTAACGCCCAAGTTCTCATCCATCCCTGTGTAGCGGAGAGGAGCCTCCTGTAGCTCACTTTCCCTTCACAGATGGCACATTCCTCTGCTGCCGAACCATGTCACACCATCAGGATTTCCCCTGACCTTTAGCCTGAGAGGAAATGATATTGCAACTGGAAGAATACCCGAGGGCCAGGAGCTGGCAGCCCCGGCCCCGGCAGCTGTAGGGAGTGTATGAGTGGATTCTGAGTTGGCCAGAAAGGCAGCAGAAGGAGCAGGATCCAGTGGGGGAGCCTCCTGTCATTAGGAGGGGACCTGTCTACAGGAGGCCTGGCAGCTGCAGCTCCTGCAGAGCCACCAGAGGGAAGAAGGCGCCCTGGGGAGTTGGTACAGGGGCCATTTGCTGTCTCCAGTCATGTTGGGGCCACATTGGGTTCTGGGTAGGGGTTCTGACAAGGAGACCATGTCCTGAGTACCCAGTGTCCCCTCAGGGGACCAGCAGCCCTGGACTAGTCACCTTGTTTTCTCTTTTGTAAAATTTGTAAAATAATTTTGTAAAATTATTTGCCACATGGATGGAGTTCTGGGGGTCGGGGGGACTGTCATTGTGGATTTGGAGAAATTATGGTGGTTTTGTGCAGGTATATATGTATGTGTGTGTGCGTGCACGCACGCATATGTGCACATGTCAGTGCTACTGGGGCTTGAACTCAGAGCCTGAGAGCTGTCCCTGAGCTTTATTTGCTCAAGGCTGGTGCTTTGCTACTTGATCCACAACTCCATTTCTGGCCTTTTGCTGGTTAATTAGAGAAAAGAATCTCACAGACTTTTCTGCCTGGGCTGCCTTCAAACTGCAGCCCTCAGATCTCAGCCTCCTGAGTAGCTAAGATGACAGGGGCGAACACCAGCACCCAGCCAGCCCTCTTGTCTTACGTTTTAACTCCAGAGTTGCCTTCACAGAGGCTGTCCCCCACCACGATGCTCACAGCGCTTCCATTCCCACCCCCCTCACACTGTGATCTGCATGGCATTTTCTTCTTTAAAATCATTTTATAAGCACATGTGAAATGTTCAAGCAGGGTTTCATTGTGCTATTTCCATGCATGCATATCGTGCCCTTTAATCACAATCACCCCTTCTAGTTCTTTCTTATCCCCCTCTTTCCCATCTCCCTTTTAACCTTGCAAGACATTTTAAGTGGATTTTATCATGACATTTTCATGCATGCATACAACACGCTTTGATCACATTCTGCCCTCTCATTCTGTCCTTTCCCACTTCCTGCCCCCTAGTATCCTCTCACTTTCACGGCCTTTTTGTTGATTATGTCTAGATTGCACCTATGAAAGGAAGCACGTGACATCTGACTTTCTTAGTCTGGCGTATATTACTTACTGTGATAATCTTGTTTCATCATTTTTTCCCCCTACAGATGGCATCATTTTATTCTTAATGACTGAATAGTATTCTATTGTGTTTTCTGTCCATCTTCTGATGGACACTAGGCACTAGGCTGGTTCCATGACTGGTCATTGTGCACAGCGCATGGTAATCATGGGTATTCAGCGATCCTCTAGAACATGTTCTGAGCCTGTACTCAGCTGTTCACTTGTTTTCTCACTTGCTGTTTCCAACCCATCTCCCCATTTAGAACATACACGTGTTGGGCAGGCACAGCACAAGCAAGGTCTTCTTCACAGCTGGATCATGATGCTTGCAGCTGTATTGGACACAGCAGAACTAACAAAGGCTTGCTGGTTGGCATTCCCCCGGAGGAGACAAATGTGGACACGTGTAGATGGTGGCCACTGACAGCCCATATGAGCCTGGCTCTTCTCAGAGGGCACACTGTCTGCAGAGTCCAGTTTATGAATGAAACCCAGCAATTTCCTAAAGGAGACTCTCCCCCTAGAGGACACCACGGTGCCTTGCCAGTGCCCAGAGCATCAGGGCAGCAGTTGTCCAGTTCGTCACACATCCAGCTGCAGCAACGCTGTCTCCTACCCTCGGGGCCCCCCGGCCAGCAGCTGCCTCTTTGCATTTAGTCTTGTAGGAATGTTGAGGAAGCTGACTTTGGGCTTGTTTGTTGACTTGGAAAGTTCATTCTGAGTACCCTTGACCAATCGAGAATAATATTTTCATTGATTTATGAATGGTGTATGTGATTATTTAAAAAAAAAAACCCAAACCTTGGCATCTAAACCAGGGCCCAGAACACCATAGGTGTTAGCAAATGGTAGCTAGACAAATTCTGCTGGTCCATAGTGACTGTGCTTGTGGTGGGCTTGCCCCCTTGTTTTTGATGCTGCTGTGAAGCTTTGTCTTCATCCCCTTTTCTCCTCTTCTTCTAGGTGGGCTGGAAGAGCATGCGTCTGAGAACTGGCCAAACACAACAGCTTCAGCTTCGAACACCAGCAGCCAGGCAGCTAGAAAGGGTATGTATATGAGGCCCTCCCAAGTCTCTGAGTACCTTTTATTATTTGTTCATCATGGCAAAATACAGACAAGCCAAAAGCTTGCCATTTTAACATTTTTTTTTGAGACAGCATCTCACTTTGTAGCCTAAGCTGGCCTCAAACTCATAATCTTCCTGCCTCAGTCTTCCAAGTGCTGGGATTATAGGTATGCACCACTATACCCACTTATCTCTTACGAACGTTTTAAAGTACGTCATTTAGTGGCATTAAGTACATTTACAATGCTGTGTGACCATCCGCACTATCTATTGCCAAAATTTTCTGTCACTCTAAGAGACCCTCCTGTACTCATTGATCAGTTATTCACTGTCCCTTGCTCATAGTCTTTGGCAGCTCTTTTTGTTGTTGTTGTTTTGTTTTTGTTTTTGTTTTTTGCCAGTTATGGGGCCTGAACTTGGCCCGGGCTCTGTTCCTCAGCTCTTCAGCTCAAGGCGAGTGCTCTACAACTTGAGCAACAGTGCCACTTCTGGCTTTTTCTGTTTATGTGGTGTTGAGGAATCGAACCCAGGGCCTCATGCATGCAAGGCAAGCACTCTACCACTGAGCCACCTTCCCAGCCCCCTGTCAGCTCTTTTTTTTTGGGTCCAGTTGTGGGGCCTGAACTCTGGGCCTGGGCACTGTCCCTCAGCTCTTCAGCTCAAGGCTAGCACTCTACCACTTGAGCCACAGCGCCACTTCCGGCTTATTTCTTTTTGCTTATGTGGTGCTGAGGAATTGAACCCAGGGCCTCATGCATGCAAGGCAAGCGCTCTACCACTGAGCCACCTTCCCAGCCCCCCTGGCAGCTCTTTTTTGAGCCTCAGTTTAAGCAACTGAGTCAGTGGGCACAAGAAAAGTGTTTTTCTTTGGTGGAATGGAGCAGCTTGTTGCCAGAAAATAAAAGAAAGAGGAGTTTGGGGGAGGGGTGTCATTTGTTGCTTAGGGATTCAGGTAAACTCTGGTAAAAACCAACTTTATGGATGTCAGGTCAATTCTGCTTTTCTGGTTTAAGTCATCTCCCAGGAATTTGGCTTGAGAGTTGAAGCTTCTGAAGGTCTGAGAGGAGAGAAGGTAAAGACCAGAGAACAAGGCGGCTTGGTGAAGGAGAGACTGGTGGGCATGGAGGAAGACACAGCTAGGCAGGAGCTGGGGACTGTGTGAACTAGAGTCCCGTGGGCTGCCAAGGGAAGAGGGAAGGATGGTGGCTGTTGTTTGCAGGCAAGGGCCACCTGTCATTTGGAGCCTGTCCAGAATGACCCTGGGGCCATAAAGGCTCAGACATAAATGTGTGCAGTCCGCCAATCCTAAGAGCTTCTAGCTTGGCAGTCACTGAAGTGTCTTGTTTTTGGAGGAGCTTTTCCCATTCACAGTGATTTATGGCCACAGGACTTTGTCTCACCTCTGCAGGAATTAAGGGTAGCACATGGCAGTAATGTTCCTTCTATGTAAGGTTAACTGTTGAGCAAAAGAATAATGTGTGTTTGTGTGTGTGTGTGTGTGTGTGTGTGTGTGTGTGTGTGTGTGTGTGTGTGTCAGCACTAAGGCATAAACTCAGGGCCTGGATGCTCTCTCTTAGCTTTTTTGCTCAAGGCTAGTACTCTATTACTTGGACTACACCTCTACTTCTAGTTTTTGCTGGCTAATTGAAATAAGAATCTCATGAACTTTTCTGCCCAGTCTGACTTCAAATTGTGATTCTCAGATCTCAGCCTCTTGAGTAAATAGGATTACAGATATGACCCACTGGCACCCAGTAAGAATAATGTTTAAATATCAGAATCCTATGGTCACATATGGCTACAGACAAGCAGTAGTTGGTGGTAAAAATGGACTCCAGGCTGTGGGCATGAAGCCAGAGGGGTTGGTTATTTCACTGCAGTGATATGCATACCACATCTTATTCTTCCTCTACTATTTATATTATTTATTGTTGCACAGACCACCCTTGAACTTTACTTTAAATGATGCCTTGTTATCTTTTATGATTCTGTGGGCTACCTAACCCAAGTGGTATCTATCTCTTCATCCTGCGGTCACTCATTTGACTGCATTGGCCTCACAACTAGATTGGATGAAGGGTCCCGCAGTAGCATGACTCACCCCTGGTGACCAGTATGCCTTCACCTGGCCCTGACCCCTCATTACTGTCTTGCCTGAGACTTGCTCCAGCATGGTGGCTGCTTCTCCAGAAGGAAGAAGCAGAAGATGCTAGTCCTGAACCAAACAACTACTTCTGCCACCGTCAAAACAAGCCAAAGGGCCAGCCCCAAGCTCAAAGAAAAGGAAGTAGATGCTACGGTAGGAAGACTCGGCATGAATTCGCAGACAAGTAGCCATATCTGGAGACTAGTATTTCATCTTACTTCCTCACCATCAATTGCTGTTATCAGAGTTTAAGTATATATATCACGCCTGAGACTATCAAGTAACCCAACCAACTAAACTGAGAGAGTCACACACATTTGGGATTGAGCCCTGGCCCAACCATTTGATAGCTGTCACTGGATGAGTTATCCAATTTCCCATAAGAGGCTTGGAAGAATTAGAAATAATATTTACATGAAGCCATGCCAAGATTGTAAAGGTGCTCAGTGAATATAGCTCTTCCCCTTCTTTCTCTCCACCTCCACTTCCAAGACTGACACTCCACAGCACTGAGAGCACATCATCCACCTCTGGACTGGGATTCCACAGCTGTTCAACAGCTGCACAGAAACACAATCACAAAAGAAGGACCGGAAGGAATGAGGCTGCAGTCCATTAAAATTCGGCCTCTAGCTGGGTTGCGTACAGGACGCGCATTGGCAGCAAAAGGCCTTAAACTTTTTAAGGTAGATGATAATGATGATCTCCCCATACCCACACACCTCTGAGGCTGGCAAGATTCATAGTGTGGAGTCCTCCAGCTGGGCCTGTTGGTTTGAAGGGAATAATAATGTCAAGTCTAGGCCAATGCTTCCACTCTGTATTATTTAGCAGCACACCAGCAGCTGTTTGAGCATCCAAGGCAAGCCAGAGGAGGAAGAAGACCCCAGCGGTGCAGCAAGGACAGACTTGTGATGCTCTTTCCTCCATCCTTCCTGTCCTTTCCATCCTATACCTTTGGGACACTCTTGGACACCAGCTTGGGGTGCCTTTTGTTTTGGTTTAAATTAAAGATAATGTGTGTGGGTCTCAGATTCCTCTTTAATTGCAACCTGCCCTTCTTCCGCCACCCCAGAACAAGAGACCGCCCAAGCAGGAGAAAGGAGGGGGAGCTCAAGGCCTGCTCATTTCAGCAGAGATTTATTTCCTGGCATTATGTGGCTCCCTTCAGCCCTGACGGTGGGATTTGTGTTTGCAGCTTTGGGGAGGGGTGAATTTCGGAACTGCTCCCTCAGTAGCCCCAGCATGGCCTTTGGTGAAAGGACCCCCTTCCCTAGAGCCGGGCTTTCAGAACACATTTGGGGTTGTAATGGGGTTAATGAAATGGGGTGTGTAACTGCTCCATGGACGAAGCTGTGACTGGAGCGAGACTGAATTCCAGAAGCATATTCATAAAAGAGAATGGGCTTTCCACTTTTAGATACAGGCCCTTAGGCTTTGGGGGCAAAAGCAAAGAATAATAGAATCTGACAACTAACCTGTCACCCTCCAGTGTTACTGGTGGCAGTTATTTAGGTATAACCACTCACTTGAGCCCCTTGTTTTAATCTGTCCTGAGAGCAGACCTTCATGGTGCTAACTGCTGCTCTCCAGCAGCCTTACCCTGAGCCTTCCTTACCCTGAGCATTTGCTTTCATTGCCAGATTTAGTGTTCCTCTCACAACCATGCAGCAGGAAGTCAGGCGCCGAGGCCCAAGTGGTTTGTCCAAAGCTACACAGGTGGAAAGTGGTGGCATTTATCTTAAGCTTAAATTCCCCTGTCCCTAACCCCTGCATTTTAACCTTTCATCTGTATCACTTGCTCCTCAACATCACCAAGTTTTGTCATTGACAGTAAGCTTTAAAAACTGCAGCTGCCAAACTCTACTCTATGCAGTTGAGTCATAATCTCTGGACAAGGGGAAGAAACCGGGACTGTTTTGTTCCCCCAGTCCTGAGGCTCAAACTCTGGGCTGGGGTGCAGTCCCTGAGCTCCACTTGAGCCATAGCACCACTTTGAGCTTTTTCGGTGATTAATTGGAGATGAGTCTTACAGACTTTCCTACCTGGGCTGGATTCTAACTGTGATCCTCAGATCTCAGCCTTCTGAGTAGCTAGGATTACAGGCATGAGCCACTAGTGACCAGGACTTTTTTTTTTAAAGCTCCCCAATTTGATTCTTTTTTTTTTTTTTTTTTTAGTACTATTACTGGGGCTTGAACTTGAGCCTAGGTGCAATTCCTTAACTTTTTGCTCATGGCTGGCCCTTTATTACTTGAGCCACGGCTTCACTAATGGCTTTTTGGGTGGCTACTTGGAGATAAGAATCTCATGGACTTTCTTGCCCAGGATGGCTTTGAACCGAGATCCGAGGTCTCAGCTTCCTAAGTAGCTAGGATTAGAAGCATGAGCCGGTGGCTCCCAGTTCCCACTTTAATTTTAATGTGCAGCCAGATTTAAAAGCCATTGTGGAGAATAATCTATAGTTCTTCTTTTCACCAAGGCGCTGTTCTTTAGTCCTTCAGGATCGTGGCAGGCAAGGTGCACATTTTCCCATCACTCAGGGGTGAGGATTTTACAGATGGCTGCACAGTCACAGTATTTCCTTCCGGTGCGGGAATGAACAGTTGCCTAATCTAAAAATTGCAGTTCCTCGCTTGAGAGGGCTGGGTCAGGCCTGGTTCTGTTTATGACACGTCTGTGCCTTCAGCTGGAAATTGGAACGTTGAATAGCAATGGCTGCTCTGTTCCTTCATGGAAGACAGGGTCCATCCTCAGAGCCAGGGAATTTAAATGTGTTCTATCCCCCCACTCTACCCCTAGCGTGGTAAATCCTTTCAGACACCCCTGAGCTC